ATCTCCTCAAGATAGCAGCCCAGCCTAGCAGGCTCTTGGTTCATCTCTCTGGGAAATGAGTAGTACACTATGCTTCCAGTTTCTTCACCCTTTTAAAGTCTTCCATTGGCAAAGCCATAGTGATGTCTATTTCAAAGTCACACTGGAAAGGGGTCAGGAGTGCTATCTTATAATGCTGTTTCTGCTCCCTTTTGTCTTCATGTCTTTTCTTACTGTCGCTTACCAATAAAACAAGCAAGGACAGGCCAGATGCAGATGGGTGTGAGGCGGCTCCGTCTCACTGTTTTTCACAATCGTGTAAGTGTTAACCCAAATGCTTCTCACAACCACTGTTAAGTACATGCCTGCTGGCATGTAACTTACAGTTCAGCAGTAAATCTCCCACGAGAATTCCCTTCAATTCCAACTGTCACTCCCAGTAGTCTGCCAGTAGATAAAGCTTGGAAGGGCAAGTTCAAAATGGTAGGAACCACAAGTATTACATAAATACTGCTTATGTAGGATTTTCTTTTTTAACTCTGAAAGGTCTAGCAGATCTTACGCGAAAGGATGTTCTTTTCAATGTATCACTTGCCAGAAGGAAGGCACTTCCAATAGAAACAATAAAAGCATGTCTCAAATTTTATTTATCCCTCTAAGTTCTGAAAGCACATTAAGGAAGAATAACAACATTCCACTTTGGCTAAAAGTGCTAATTAATAACTAACTTCAATTCTCCCAGAGGTAAAATATTAATGTTATTTTTAAATGAAATTAAGCATCCCAATCTTCTAATTGTTATAAAAATATTTAGCAGCAATATCTGTTTAATTATTTAGGCGTCTCTTAATGGTGTAAATATTATCAACACAGTCATAAATATTTTCTGTTTTGTCCGTAGACAATCCGTTAAGGATCTGTTGCTTGTAGGACTTAAATTAAGATCTATTTAAGGCTGCCTGCTGGCCACAAAATAATTACTTACACTTGCTAATGCCTGAATCTGTTAGATTTAGCAGCAAGAAGTGCTCTTTGTTTTCACAAGTAGGGGGAAGTTATTTTTCTTATAAATTTCATTGTTGATGGTATTAAGAGAGGATTAGGGTGGGGTTGAAGTAGTTGAAAATTTAATTAATCTAATCCTTTTAACAGCAATTGTTTTCATATTGATAATTCTCTGTAACAACAGTATTACAAATCATACTCATGTGAAATATTTACACTACATATTTTAGCATATAATCTCTCCTCCAGCTTTCTCTTTCTAGAATAGTGAGATTTTCTGCTTCTCCAGCTTCCTTCTTTTTTTCTTTCTCTCCCACCTAAAATGGAAGGTTTCTTCTCAGGGGACCAGAGTGAAATCTTTTTTTTTTTTCCCTGCTAATTTTCTCTCAATGTCATTGTCTCTCAGTGAATTATGTTAATGAGCATTGAATCATTAATCTCCTAAAAGAGCATGAGTACTATGAAATAAGAAGAGTTCAATTGATTTCTTTTTTTTGGTATCTACAGTCGTTTAGTGTAGAATTTCATTTGAAAGGATTTGTTTACTCATCAATTTCAATAAATTGTTATGCTGCTGAAATTATCACTAAGAGTAGAGTCAGATGAAGGACGAAACTGTCAACCTCTGATCATTGCCAGTGTAAATTGGGGATTGTTCTTAATCTGCTCAAATGTCACATTATCGAGAAAAGACTTGTTCTGACCTCCCAATATAAAATTACAACCAGTATCCTTCCTCCAACACCATTCTCCCCTTTAATTGGCTTTATTTTTCTCCGTAGCAGTTATCACCGTGTAACGTTATGAAACACTATATATTTGTTTGTTTAGTGCATCTCCTTCAACTAAGATGGAAACTCTGCTGAAAGCAAGGACTGGGATTTGTCTACTACTGTATCTTGAGAGCCAAGACAAGTAACTTAAATATAGTAATATAGTAGGCGATCAATACATCATGATTGAATGCATGAAGCTTTTCTCTCATTTTTCAGGTGCCTAGAGCACCAGATCAGAGCAAAACAATGAGATTTCTCCTTGTCCTGGCATGCATTTTGATGGCTGACAACTTGATGTAAATGTAAGCATTTATCCTGAGCTCACTGTCCTGCTAAGCCCCAGTGGAAGAGTGTTCCTGTAGTACAAAAGCAGAGACTGAGTGCTGTATGTGGGCATGTCTTCATTAAAGGAATAAAACTTTGGGTTGTGCAGTGCTGTTTGGCATCTACATGTTTACAATATTAAAAGTAACGGAAAGCAGAGACAATCAAAAGATGCTCTCCAGGACACTACTTGTATGGTATATAAATTATATAAATAGGGGTTACTAAAACAAGAAGGGGCTCCATGGTCAAATAAGTTTCTGAAACTAGGTGTTACATGAAGCTAAGGAAGGTTCTTAACTTCAAGGCATCTCAGATGTATGATGACGCTCATTAGGGCTCTCTAAGGACAAGAAGATCTTAGGCTGTGATTCCCAAACTCGTTTGATCTTAGGCCCTTCCTTTCTACCAGCCAACCCTGTTTCTAAGACTGGGTTGTATCACAGGGAACTCCATTGACTTGGGAGTTGAACAGGCAAGGACAGGGGCAAGAGAAGAGGTTCCTGGCTCTGCCCCTTACTCACTTTATTATATGATCTTGGGCAAATTACCTAACACTTCTCTGTGCCTCAGTTTTCTCTTCTGTAAGGTAAAGATGAAAAGGATTACCTAGAATAATGTATGTAAAATGTCTGACCCATAAGTGCTAAATAAATGGTGGTTATTGTCAACACCTTTTATTGAATGTAGGAATGAATGCTTTTAGATAGATATCTTTAAGCATATTTTCTAAGACAGGTTTGCTAATATTGACCCATTCCCAAAATTAGCCTGCCATGCCTCCCACTTCGTCCCAGCACCCTGTCCCCATCTGAGAAGCTCTGTGCATCTATGCTGAAGTCGAAGAAATGCTATCTTTCAACACAACTTAACATAAATGCCTGATAACTCACTTCGGGTGTACCCTGCAGAGTTACTTCCTGTGTTTCGATACCCTTAACCTCAGATGAAAACACTTGTTTCATCTGAGTGATGAACACTTGTTCATCCTCCTGACACTTGTCAGGAGGAAGGTGGAGGCATCCAAGTTAAGGATTGTGCAGATGGCTACGTGCTGATAAATTTTGAAGTGACCATATTTTTTCAGTAAATCTTAAATGAAGGTGTGATTTGTGTAAATCTGACCCCTTCCAGTAAAATGTGCATTTACATATATTTAGAATTTATAAATCCTGACAGATTCCACAATATTTATAGCCCTCCATAAAAAGCCTTTGCCAGTTTGCAGAGCTTAGCATTTGGCTCTCTGGTGTGCTTAAGAGAGTTTAAATAATAATAAATTTGGTGATTTATTCCACCTGGAACAGAAACTTATTTCCCCCCCTTGGCTCGTTTTGAAGGAGATACTATAAATAGTGCCACAGACGCTGAGATCAGGAATAGGGAATTGAAATTCGAGAGAGAAATACAGAAACATTTCCATTATCACTGATGCCTTGAATGTATTTTTAAAACAGTTCTGTTCCTCAAATAATGTACCTTCTCTCCTTTCTCCTGCCCCATCTCAATTATACTTGAGTTCCCCAAACCTGTTGCCAGCTTTAGGATTCGGTTGCGTTAATGGGAAAGAGAGTAAAAGTATTAGCTGACTAAAGAGAAAGTTGCCTCTTGGGAGGCCAAGGCAATTCTCCAATGTTCATCTTACATTTCACAGGAGTCAGCCAGTAACTGAGCTTCGATGTCTAAAGTGTAAATTCATTATTTGAGACCCAGCTCATGCATCCTACAGGTATGATGAAAAGCTCTTTGTTTATGAAAAAGAAAAAAAAAGTATAATTGTAATTACAAGAGAAAGCCTAAGGACAATGGCAGAGGGTCGATTCTTTCATCCATCCTTGCTTATAATTACCCAGTACAGGATTAGAGAGAAATACCTGAAGAGTTGACTCTAAATGATACATTTATTTTCTTAAACAGAAAATAAACAAAAATCAGGGAGCCCATTGTTTGCCATAGAATCTACTGATGAAAGCCGAGAGCAACCACTTAATGTAGAATAAGTGGTGTTATAACTTGTTGTGTTATGACAAGGAGACATTTCCAGCTTCTTATTTGAATGGACTATGAAGGAAGTAGCCTTTGTGAAAGGGAAAATAACAGTAATGGCTAACATCCATGGAGAGCTGACTATGGGCCGACACAGAGTAACACATCAAGCGGCTGTGGCTCTTTGCAACACCCTTCTAATTAAGTACTGGATTTTTCTGTCCTGATAAGTTGGAGCACACTCCCCGCCCCAAGTCTTTCCTGAGGAATCCCCTTGCCTCTAGCTAATATGATGGCAGATGTTTGGACAAAGCCCTAAAGCCTGTAGTGTACCACTCTGTAATGATTTGTGGTGAACAAAGTAAATGCTTTAATAGCAGGCTTTATGAAGCAGGGACCCAGTTAAGTGTGATGGATTTGAAGCAAAGCAAAGAGAAGCTGAATGTTGTGTGGGGGTATTGTTTCCTAAACAGGACACAGGTATCTACGGTCCATGGCTAATTCTAAAGCTTTGCTTGAAAAATGACTCTTTTAAAGAACTGTGCTCTTGAGGAACGTCCTTGAGGCATGGAGAAATTTTCTTGCCTTTCTATAGCATCTTTCTAAGAGGATGTGGAGGTATTGAGCTGTGAGACAGTTGCTCAGTGTCTTTGTGCTTCTGGGACTACATTATGGGTCTAACATATATGGGATAAATAAACTGTTTTCATTTCTTAAAGCCCATGAAAGGAAAATTACCATATTGCTGCTTCTTTTTTTTTTTTTTTAAACTGTTAAAGAAGACAATCCAGGTAGGGCAAATAAAAATAATTACGAAACACAGGTTTATTTTTTTCTGTCTTTCCTAGCCTCTTACTCAGCAACAGCAATATGGCAAGACTTGTGTCAAACCAGTGTTTTGATGCAACCTCTTTTGTTCTTCTTCCATAGGGCAACCCCTACATGTGCAATAATGAGTGTGATGCAAGTACCCCTGAGCTGGCGCATCCCCCTGAGCTGATGTTTGATTTTGAAGGAAGACATCCCTCCACATTTTGGCAGTCTGCTACTTGGAAGGAGTATCCCAAGCCTCTCCAGGTTAACATCACTCTGTCTTGGAGCAAAACCATTGAGCTCACAGACAACATAGTTATTACCTTTGAATCGGGGCGTCCAGACCAAATGATCCTGGAGAAATCTCTTGATTATGGACGAACATGGCAGCCCTATCAGTACTATGCCACAGACTGCTTAGATGCTTTTCACATGGATCCTAAATCCGTGAAGGATTTATCACAGCATACGGTCTTAGAAATCATTTGCACTGAAGAGTACTCCACGGGGTATATGACAAATAGCAAAATAATCCACTTTGAAATCAAAGACAGGTTCGCGTTTTTTGCTGGACCGTGGCTACGCAATATGGCTTCCCTCTACGGACAGCTGGATACAACCAAGAAACTCAGAGATTTCTTTACAGTCACAGACCTGAGGATTAGGCTTTTGAGACCAGCCGTTGGGGAAATATTTGTAGATGAGCTACACTTGGCACGCTACTTTTATGCAATCTCAGACATAAAAGTGCACGGAAGGTAAGAGAACGTCTGTCTGACTTGAATGAGAATGGGTGTGTTCAAAGAAAATGTGAGTGTGTTGGTCCTGCAGCTCTAGAGTGGTGTTTGTCACTTTCTACTGCAACATTTTCTCAGGAACACCAGCCTAGAGGTAGGTTCTGAGGCCTTTGAGACTCTTCTTACTCAGCAGTAATTTGTGATCCCAGACTTGCTGTCACTGAACCTGAACCTGGCAGGATTTCTTAGAATTTGAACAAAACCAAAAAAAATAGCATCTTTTTTGAGACCAAGGAACTCCCTAGATCAGGAGGTAGTTTAAGTCTTTAAGGCAATGAAGCCGGGGGGAACAAAGCTTGTTGCTTTATGAAAGGGACTGAAAAACAAGAAATACATTTTTCCCTTGTTTTGGAATGCAAGAGAGGATTTCAACATGGTACAACTCTCTGGTTATGTTTTGTTATATCACACAAGAAAAGTTCTGGAAATGAAAGTTATAGTTCTTTAAATTTGTTAAATCAGAACCAAAAGCGTTAGGAAACACAATGCGTTTGTTAAAGAGAAGCAAGCTCTACTTTCAATTTTGGATGCTATTGTTTGAAAAAGATACACTACCTTTTCAAATATGGACCTGAGTTGGGCTCCTTTCATTTGTAGGTCACTTATGGATGGACCAGAATTTAAACACATTAATGGTCACAGCCAGGCATACCCTTGGTTTTGCTAACATACCAGAGACACAACTGAGCAAGTTTCTAAGAACTTTGAAGATGTTTAAATGGAAAACTTGAATAACGAGAATCTGGACCACTAACAAAGAAGTTTTCAACCAGATTTTTAAGTGTAGTATGTTATCAAAATAACCAACTGATGGGAGTTGAGGCATGACATAACGAGTTGGGAAAACTAAAGATAAGAGTGGAGTATACAGCAAAATGGAAAAACTGGAGAGCAAAGGCAAGCAATAATCGTTCTAAAAATGCCAAGGTAGCTTTAAATCAAGATATATAAGAATATAAACAGTACATAAATCATATAGGTTTAATTAAGTAATCATAAAATTTAAACAGATAAGGCAGGATTCACTAAGTTTACTGGTCTCTAGCATCCTGTCCTATCTAGAGGGCAGTCCAGTCCTCTGAAACTGGAAAAATGTTGAGACCCCCTGGCTTTCAGAGAATCATCTCAAGCCATCTTTGACAATAGTGCTATTATATTTGTGCACTAGAAGGAAAAAGAGGTCATAGCTGTTAAGTAAGGACCATAGTGGGCACATGGAATGGAGTGATGAACATGACCTCAGTATGGTGGTAAAGATTTTGGAATCTTACCTTATAGAATCTTACTTATGGAAGGTAGCAGGAACTGGTGGCCACCTACCCTCAGCTTTGTTCGAGCTTCATTTTCCTTATGGAAGAGTCAAGAATCTTTAGCTATGGAGCCTCTTTAAAACTTTTAACCAACGTTCAGTGATATATGAAGAAGATATCTTTAAAGCAAAATAATATTTCTAAGAAAAATATGCACTGATACAACTCTGAGCTTGTGGGTTCCAGGGTTCCTGTGTTAGCAGGGCACCACGAGAGGGCAATATGGAGCTGTTGCCTTAAACATGAGTTTGCTATTTATAATAAAATGCAACCATTATAGTCATTAATATTTTAGCAAAAGATCAGGTTCTAGTATCTTATTCTTGGGGACATATATAAAAATAATTGATGTTGATAGTATTAACGATAGCATACCACAACAAAGTAACAGGTATTCTGTTCATCTACAAGAATAAATGTCAAAATTAATAAGCTGAGATTTGAATTTGAATCCTAGTGTGATCTACATTGTTTGGTAGTATTATCTAGGTCAGTTGAAGAAATCCTTAACCTTAGCCAAAATCTTTATAGCCTGACTTCCCCCCAAACTCTCATTTTCCACTTGTAAAGAAGGCAATCTTGTGAAGCCTTCTGGTTGGGAAGTAACTATTATTGGGGCTTATTTCTGTTATTGGATATTCACTTTTGTTCCCTCTGACTATTTCAAAGAAAGTATAAGATACACTTTAAGCTACAGGCATTTTATGCATTCTCTGTTGGAGTCAGAAATACTCTCTCTTAAAGGTTGCATGTTAGAAATGTAGAATCCCACCAGATTTACCACTTTTCTTTTATCCTTCATCCTAGTAGTGTCCTCCAACTGCATTTCAGTGGCTCTGAGGAGTTTAGAGGAGCCCTCCTCCCTTCTCTGGGACTCACCTCCACTGTCTTTTCCTGTTCACCAGTCAACTGTAAGCTGGTGAGGAGGCACCTGGACAAGAGAGAAAGGTCCAATAGAGGTGAGCCCCTTCCATAAGGTCCCACTCTGTCACCTCTAAACTCTGTCCAAATTCCTCAGGGCAAAACTGATCCTGTGCTAGGCACCAGATGGCCGGGGTATTTTTAGTCTTAGGGGAGGGACTAAAGAAGCAAGGCCTGATGGCTCGGGCGTGTCTCCAGCTTTTAAGTTATATAAGGAAGATGGAGCCACTGAAGGGAACTGTTGAGTTGTTGCCTGGTTCACAAGCCTTTCAGCATACAAGCTGATATATGTTTTACCCTTGAAATTTTCAGTAGGGTTAACAGTCTATGTTGTCTTTTTCTTATATAGCAAATCATCTATAGGAGGCTTGAACATTAATTGATGATCTCTAAAAGAAAGTTGTAAAGGTTTCTTTTCATGAATATCATAAATACAAACTTTCCAAAATATAACTGAGGTCTTTGTTTCCCTGAACCCACTCTTCCACCATCCGTGAGATGATTACAACATGTAACATATCTTTACATATCTCTGTCTGATCACTATAATATTTTTCTACTTGTCACTCCACCCCCACCCCCACTATAATGTGGGAATTGGCATGAGTTTTTTGGGGAAAGTGGGCTAATATCCTTAGAATAGTAGCCAGAGAATAGAAGATTTTTCACCTTGAAATATTAATCCCTGAAACAAAATAGTTGGAGAGTCTTTGTTTGAATTGACTGACTGTGAAATCCATTTCTCTACTCCTTGACACAGGTGTACGTGGTCTTGATGTTTTATACTGGCTAGTATTGTTTGGTGTGAAAATGATGTTTTGATTGTTATTAGATTAATGTAGCATTTATGTTCTTTTTAGCATGTGACAATCTGATCTGACACCTATTTAACTGGTGACAAAATACCTTTTGCTACATACTTATTTTGCTTTCATTTACTCCCCCTTATTGTGTATTTATTAAGAGAATGGAGGAAAAAGAGGAAACATGGCTGTTGGCAATCTCAGTGTCTTCATAGTACTTACGTTGTTCAATAAACCTAATAATCTTCATGGACTAATTCTGACTTATGGATGTCCTGCTTCAGTAAATCAGGGTGATTTTCTCTAGTGAATAATAGACAAGTGCAGTGTGCCAGTACCTTAATTAAAGAGTGGCTCTCTTAGTCTTGATCTCATTTTAATTTACAGGGTAATACTACAATAATATCACTAATGGAAGGTACATTAAAGGGCATCAAGTAGCATTAACTGTATTAAATTATGGTACTTGTGTTAATTAACTGCTGGAGCAAGATGGTTCTAATGGCCAGAAAGGTCATCTAATGCATAAATAAAGTCTACTCAGATGAGGGGTGAGCGGAGAAATGAGAAGTAGATGTTTGTTCTGAATATCTTTTTATACAGACAAGGAGTTAAATTCACAGGCTATTAAACACAGATATTGTCCAAAATGTTTTCTTAGCTACACAATTGGAAGTTTTGATTTTTAAGTGTTTTGTTTTCTTCTGAGCTTTCTATAGTTAAATTAATTGAAAAGTTGAACATTATGTTTGTCAGATGCATAGATTTTATAAAATATAAACTCAATATTATTTATTGTTTCTTTGTCATGAACAGTTTCAAGGAAGTAATGTGATTTATTATAGTAATTATTAAATCTGAAAGACAAACGAACATCTGATAATATGCTCTTTAGTTTGTAACATATGCTATCGGCAATGTATCAAGGTACTGGTTTCAGACATAAAATAATAGAAATTCTTTTTCAACCTCAGGAACTTTACAACAGAATTGTAAGAACTTTTTTCAGTGGCCTAGAAAACTCTAACCCACATCTCCATTATTTGCCCTGTTACACACAATATTCCTAAACATAATTATCAGTAATTTTTTCTCAGTGGTGTTTACTCATTTCTTAGCCCTCGCAGTGCCTACCCATGCTCCTTACAGATACTCGGCTGTCAGGTACTATTTATAGAATTGACTTTTCCTTCTATGCCTCCATTGTTTATCTCCAAGAAAGGAGCCAAGCAGCACTAGCAGAACAGAAGCTCCACTTAACAAACTTTTGGGTGCTATCTTCACTTCACTACTGCCCCAGCTCCGAATCACTCCCGCCCTGCCTAATCCCAGGACCTGGAAAGGTCCAGAGAAAGAAGCACGCTAAGGGGGTGTCAGGAGTGGGAAATGCCCCCTACACTCTTACCCTCAGAAGGATTCAGATATATTTGTAAACTCTCACTGTTTGACTGTCACTACCTTGGTATTTACTATAATTAGGACAAAAGGAGGCTGAAATTCACTTTCTTAGAGCAAGGCTTTCAAATGGTTAGTACAAAAATATGTGATATTAGGAAAGCAAAAACACTTGGGGAAGTTTAAAAGTATAAAATCAGTAGAGCATTCTTCAAATTTTCTCAAATAATTTGGAAAAATCTTGTAACACAGAAGTGCTTTGCCGATGACAAAAGGCTTATCAGTTATCCTGCAAGTTCTCTTAAGTCTTTTTCTTAGCCACAATTCAAATAAATGTACCAAAATATTTACTTTTCACCTCTCCTGTGAGAGCGTCCTGCAAGGTGCTTTTGAAGCAATGGGCCTGGCGTTTGTTCATTCTCCTCAATTATTACTAATTATTGAGGTTGGGCTTTACTACTGCTTGACAGATTCTGCTTTTATAACACCTTTCCTTCTTTCTGTCACCAAAAAATACTTATCCTCCACCCTG